AACTGTGTCCCTGTCACTGGCGCAGCCTCCCAGCCGGGGGCAGACAATGCCATACCACAGGGGTAGGTCTACTCATGTGCTTGCTTTGCAGCACCCCGGTACCCCGTCCCTACTTTTACAAAAGAAACGATCCCCATCTTGACACTACGGTGGCATTTCCCTTTTGCATTGGGCTGACGCTTGTATCTATGGCCCGCAAATGAGAAGTGGGCTGCAGGCAGCACTGAGCAAGGCATGGCACCCAGGGAGCTGCTGGTGCCCGGCCTCGTTGCCAGCCTCCAGGAAAGGAAAGCGCTGCCCATTTCACTTGCGTTTCCTTGCTGAAGCAGTGAAGTTATTAACTTGAAAACATCTCAACCGCTGATGCAGCCACTTTCCATACTCGGTGTGACGGAATGAAGGTGCTCGCAGAGCACCGAGGGTCAGGTTTATGGCTGCCGGCTTCACGGCTGGCCCCATGCACAGTCTCAGCGATGTGCTTCCATCCTGAGGCCGGACACAGCCTAGAGTTCCCACTTCGTCTGGCTTCTGTTCTCACCAGCACCCTTCCTCCTTGAAAGAATAGCTGACGCACGGTGGTTATTCACACATAGGTGTCTGGCAGATATTTCCTCAAAAATGAACAAAGCAAGCCTCTTACTTCCACGAAAACGGTTCCATTGTTATTTGTTGCTAATGGTAAAATTTGAGCTTTTAAGAAAAGAAATCAGAATTTTGGAAAACTTGTATCTGCCTCAGGCTTCCGAATACTCAATGACTTTTTAAATGAGACGAATGGTGATATTAAGAAATGTGATTTAATGGAAGGTGTCAAGCTTTAAAAGTCTGCATAATTCTACAAACAACGTCTTCCAAATGACCCAAGCGCGACATTACAGAATCATGCGAAATCCAAGCTGGACCACTCAATTCTAATGTAACAGCACAAACGTTCACTGGCATTGTTTCAGGTTCCACAGTAGAGTGAGCCTTTGGGAGCCACTGCTTGGAGGGTTTGGTGTAGCAGCAAGACGAACGGCCCCATGAAGTGAGTGAAGCCAAACTTTCTTTTGACATTTGACTGAAACAACATATCACGATACACTAAATGCAGCAGACACATGGCCACACATATCTTCTATGAAGGCAAGCACTAAAGAGATTTGCAGAAATGTAACATGATGCCACTCTCCTCGCTGTTTTCCACTTTGGAAAATAGTTATTTTATAACATTTACATTAACATGCAGGTTTAAAATGGGTTTATATTATGTTCATTTCTTAAAAATCTTTACTGTTGAGAGTATTACAGATGCCCCCTTTTTATCCCATAACCCCTCCCCAACCTGTTCCCACCCCACCCCAAGCCTTCACCACCCTATTGTCTGTGTCCATAGGTAATGCGTCTATGCATATAAGATCTCTGGTCAGTCTCTTCCCACCACCCTTCCTTCTGAGATTCGTCAGTCTGTTCCATGTTTCCATGCTTCTGATTCTATTTTATTCATCAGTTTCTTTTGTTCATTAGATTTCTTGTTCATTTATTTTGATTTTTAGATTCAATTGTTGATAGATATGTATTTATTTCCATTTTATTGTTCATATTTTTAATTTTCTTCTTCTCCTCCCTTCTTAAAGAATACCCTTCAACATTTCATGTAATATAGGTTTGGTGGTGATGAACTCCTTTAGCTTTTTCTTATCTGCAAAGCTCTTTATCTGACCTTCAATTCTAAATGATAGCTTTGTTGGGTAGAGTAATCTTGGTTGTAGGTCCTTGCTTTTCATCACTTTGAATATTTCTTTGCCACTCCTTTGTGGCCTGCAGAGTTTTTGTTGAGAAATTAAATGACAGTTATATTGGCATCCCCTTGTAGGTAACTAGCTACTTTTCTCTTGATGCTTGTAAGATTCTTTGTTTTTAACACTTGGCATTTTAATTATGATGTGTCTTAGTGTGGGCCTCTTTGGGTTTAAATGAATTAGTAAATATATCTTTAAAATTTCCCTGTTTTAATTTCTTGTAGGAGAAATATCAACAGACATCAACCTTATATACAAAACCTTTTGGGATCCATATTTTTAAGAGTGTAAGGGGGCCTGAGACTAACGTCTTTGACACCTGCTAGTTCATGCTGATCCTGATTTGTCTTTGAAACTTTGGAAGTGGAGCTATGAGTGTTCCTGCTAAACGGGGAGCTGGTGCCACCAGCAAAATGACTAATTCATAGGAAGCCGCTTCTCACTCTGACCCTCCAACAAGCCAACATCAAAAAGAAGCCTCTGATCCCAGGAGAAACCACCCCACAATTCTACCGGCCAGCACTCAGCTGCCTCTGGGGCAAGGGTGGGAGGGAGGGGGCGGCCAGCAACAGAAGACTAGAGAGGCTCATTGTCTGGGGAGAACTTAAGAGCAGTAATACACTGACTAAAAACCAGTTTGCCTGTTGTCATCAGTGGTAAATTCTTCCTCCCCAAAAAACCTGTAGCTGGTAAAAGTGAGTCCTTATCATCTAAATAAAAGCTTCAAATTGCTTATTTTAATTACTTATCCTTTTAGAAACATTATTCTAATGGATGGTAATAACTGCTGGCTTCACAGCTGGCCCCACACTCACAGCCCCAGGGCCATGCCTCCACTCTGAGGACCGTTCCCAGCGGTCAGAATGGCGCGGGCTGGCTTCCGTGTCACAGTGTCCACGGTGTCCGCGTGCTCTTCCCTTCAAACGTGGACTCACAGTAAACCCGAGGGGGCCATGAGCTCACGTCTCCTCGCCTCTCTCAATCCAGGTGAACGCGTGGAGTTGTGTTTGAAACGTTCTTACTCCACGGATATTTGAAAGCTGATAGAATCAATCTCAAAGAACTGAATACATGGACAGTATAGCAATTTCTGGAGTTTCTTGGCTAATAGAGATTTTAGCAGTCTTCATCAAGAGATACTTACGCTAAAGACTGTTCCTAAGTACTTGTGTGTGTTGCTTCATGTCACAGAAACTCCTCAAAATTAAAATGAATAGTGTTTTTATGGGCCATGAGTGAAGACAGACTGACAAATCTGGTGCCTTTGTCTATCTAGTGATTGTGAAAATGTGGAGAACTTTTCTGATTAAGTCATTGACAGATCTGCAGATGCCAACGCCTGAGAACAAAACTATAGCTGACATCTACTAACACAACCAATATGGAGGCATTATTTTTTTCTATTAAAAGAATTATGGCCCTGGCCGGTTTAGCTCAGTGGATAGAGCGTCGGCCTGTGGACTGAGGGGTCCCGGGTTCAATTCCAGTCAGGGGCATGTACCTTGGTTGCGGGCACATCCCCAGTGGGGGGTGTGCAGGAGGCAGCTGATCGATGTTTCTCTCTCATCTGATGTTTCTAACTCTCTATCCCTCTCCCTTCCTCTCTGTAAAAAATCAATATTTTTTTTTTTAAAAGAATTATGCATTGGCTGGTAGCTCAGTTGGTTGGAGTGTCATCCCAATACACCGAGGTTGGGGGTTTGATCTTTAGCCAGGGCACATACAAGAAGCAACCAATGAATGCATAAATAGGTGGAACAACAAATGGATGTTTCTCCCTCTCTCTCTCTCTAACCAATACATAAAAAGAAAATAAAAAATACAAATTACATTAATTCTGTTTAAAAGTGTTAATCCATTACTGTTTTCTTCATTTGTACTGTAATATTTATTTTAAGAGTTTTTACTGGCATGAAAATATGTATGGAATTCAATAAAGGAGAATTCACTGTCGGTTAATTCACTATTGGTGTGTGCTTTTTAAAAACCTTTATTATAATTAGTTTCATTTCCTGATTAGTCCTGAAAATAATTTTGTTGTTTGAAGAAGGAAGAGTGTTATAAATCAAACACAAAACTAAACAAACAGATCATCCACTGTAGGAACCAAATACTAGACAGACTAGAAGTGCAAAAACCAGTAGCACAATGCCTACCCTAAGTAGCAACTGACACTGGGGTTCAATGTCTGAGAGGCGGCAGGGAGTGATGGGGCTTGTGGCAAACTGCAGGGTGTAGGCTATATCCATGGTGTCAGCCACCACTGAGCTGCGGCAGAAGGCCTCCAGGGGGGACGCAGGATAGGCATGGCCGGACCTTCTGAGTTTACAAAAGGTCAGAAACCCAGTCTTTTGGGAGAATTCTTCCTGTTTTTAAAAGCTGGTAACTAATTCAAATGTTAAAACCCCATTTGGGCCAACAGGACACATCTGTGAGGCACGTGGGCAGCCAGTTTTCAGTGCTCTGTATGAGCTCACTTGTCCTCCCTTCTAAAGCTTTCTCTCTGGGATGGTTGCTTCTCCTCCTTTCAGAGTTCCTCCTGCATACATGTCACATGTCTGCTCTTTCCGAGTCCCTCCCTAGTCTTTGTCCCTTAGAGCCCGGCCCAGGCCTGGTGCAGTGTGTGGTGTGATCGATGAAGGTGGCTGGCTCTTCCTGTGCCCAGCTGAGTGTGGAGGAAGGCAGGCCTCTCAGAGGCCGACGGACACGGGCACAGATTGACATCCCACATGCATCCATCCCCGAGACAGCCAACTCCAAAGGCCGCCCACAGACGTGAGCTGAGACCTCAGCCTCGTAGCCACACCGCAGGGGGCTTGCCTCTGGGCCCACATCCCCCTGGCTTCACCTCGCGCTGTGCTTTCTGTACAGACCACCCCTGAGCATTCGGTCCCTGGAAACATGCTCATTCATCTTCACGCAGAACAGAGACGCCTGATTCCTTGCACGCTGCCTCCCCAGTTCTCCTGACCCACCCTTTAATCGCTTCTGCAGCTTGTTTCTGGATCCCATCCAGACTTCCTGTTTCCAGACCCCTGTCTGAAGTGGGGCACGTAACTATCCCTCTCAGAAGAACTGGATCCACTACCTCCCTTCCCGAACCCAGCTCCCCAGAGGTGCACCCAACACCAAGCTCCTGGCCATCTTCCTCTAACACTTGAGAGCCGTGCACCCCCTAGATTTCTGCACCCGGGACTGCCTGAGCGGCCAGCACCTCACCTTCCCTTTGATGCTGAGACCCCCGGTGTCGTAGACGATCCCCTTGCCCACCCAGGCAATGGTCTGGGTGGCTCCGTCGGGGGTGTGGCTGAGGACGGCCAGAGCTGGGGGGTGGAGGGCGGCTTTGCCAACACCATAGATTCCTACGGGAAACACAGGGAGGGGCAGTCAGACTCAGGTTGAACTGAGCAGAGGAGACCCAGCAGCCCCCGCCCCCAGAAACATCAGTTCCCCCACAGGAAGTGTCCTCAGGCTTTGGGGTATTGCTCCTGGAGAGCTGCGCTGTCCACGCTGAGCTCCCTGCCCCCTTTCCTGCCCCTGGCCAGCGGGGGATGAGGAATGCAAATTAGTTCCAAAGCTCTGGACTGCAAACAAATTCTATGCGAAGCATTGTTAGGCAAGAAAACCCGCTGAGAAAAAAAATATTGTATCGTTCCCAGAAAGAAATGAACAGGATTGCAGAATGAAATGATTTTTGGACAATGCCTCAAGGTTGCTCCAGCCCACACTTGCTCTCCCTTCCCTGAACCCTCCATGCACTCAGTACACCGCACCACCCTTTCCAAGCTCACTCCAACTACTGCCTCACTGTTCAGTTTATGCCCCATCTGCTCCAGAAAATCATGCCTGCCGTGGGTCCATGCCTTGGGGCCCCAAGTAACTGAACTGAAGGATCACAGCAACCAGGACAAGAGCCAATAATGGCTGCCTGACAAACTCCTACTCGCCCTGCAAGACGCACTGCAAAGGACCCCTCCTCTGTGAAGCTTTCCCCTATGGGAGTGGCCTCTCCCTCCACTTGTAATTGGCACCTCTAAGATGACCTCCTCCCTAAGTGTGGGCAAGATCCTGTGTCTCACTTCTTCTTGGAGGTGATGCTGAGACATCACCTCCAAGATTAGGTTACTAAGAGACCTTGCCCTGAGGGAAGAAGCTACTGCGCTGTGCCTGCTGAGGAGAGAGCTGGAAAGGAGCATCCAGGGAGCTCAAGGCCTGCTGGCAGAGCCATGAGTGTGCCTTGCTGGGAGCACAAGCCCAGCCCCAGTCAAGCTTTCAAATGACAGCTGCCCCAGTCCCTACCTTGGTGGCAGCCTGGGAGAGACCCTGGCCAGATTCTCTCCCCGCCCCCGCCCCCCGCCCCCCACCCCCCACAAGGCTGTGAGACATCCAGCATCCCTTTCTGCACTACCTTCTGGGATAATCTGTCCTGGCAACATGGAGAGCAAATACAGTGAGCCTCCCCCAGCCAGCCTGAAAGCACCGTGTCCGGGTCATCACTGCACCACCAGGGCCGGGCAGCGGGAGAGGGTGGGCCTAGTCATCAGGGAAGTCTCTCTGAGGAGGTGGCTTTGAGCTGAGGTGTGCAGGTAGGGCAGTCCTGCCCTGACAGTGTCTTGGGAAAACATATCCTAGATACAGGGGTCAGTAGTACAAGGCCCTGGTGTGGATGTGACTGTGTGTATTCGAGGAACAGAAAGGCCCCGATGAGCTGGCCCGAGGAACAGGACAACAACACGTGAGGAGGCCGGAGAGGGAGCAGGCGGGGGAGGCCTTGGACCCTACGGCTTCCAGAATCTGAATCAGAACCTGAACCACTGCCTCCTTCTCCCCAGTGACAGTCTGCTTCCCAGGGCCTGGTCTTGGGGTTGGACACAGGCCGGTTTCTTTCGGGGTGAAGCTCAGGACGACACACCACGGGCCCACTGCCACTCTGCCAGCCAAGTGCCCGGAGCACCCAGTCCTGCAAGGACCAGCCCCCACCCACCTCCAAACCCTCTGGTCTTCAGCTCCTCGTCCCGGATGATGGTTGGGGCGATCCCCAGATCTTTTCCAACTTTCTTAATCTCCTGGATATGTTCGTGGAAAAAACAACAACACAAAGACACGTGAAGACAGCTTAACTCAAGGCGAGGCCGAGGCTTTGGGCCAAGGACTAGCTGATGGCTGCACGGTGGGGGAGGGACCAGGCTTGGGAGCCAGCGGCTCTGAGTCTCTTGCTTTGAGTGTGATTAAACCCAGGAGAGAAGGCTGGCCCTCCAAACTCTGCAATTTCCTGTAGCTCCTGGCTGGAGTCCTGCAGAGGGGCCTTCGAAAGAGGCTCCTTCCCCCACCCGCTGGCTGAGGCTGCTGGCCCGAGAGCTGGGTGGACAGTAGGCCTTTGTCTGCAGCAGCCCCAGGCTTCCCCAGGCAAAGAACAGAGACGATGAACACTGTCCCCCTCTGGCCCCCAGCTTGCCTGTGACCCTGCCTGTGGTCTACCGATACCCACCCATCCCGGTCCCACCCCCCGGCCTGACCCCCAGGGCCACGCACCTCAAGGAAGGTGTCTGTGTTCATCTCATTGCAGGGTGTGTCCACAATGCGGGCTGCCAGCCGGATGCCGTCCGTGGCATTGGTCAAGCACTAGAAAGAAACAGAGGCTGTCACCAGGGCCTTGAGACCAGGTGGAAGGGGCTGTCCCTCCTGTCCATTCTCCTGGCGACTGGAAGATGTCAGAGGCATTTGTCACCTGGGGGAGGCGGCGGGGCTGCTGACAAACAGCAGGGGCAGGTGGAGGGGAAACAAGAGCCAAGCTGCCTGCTCTCACTCCCCAGCTCCTGACCCACCAGCGAGCTACAGAATGCCAGCGGCCCTTCCGCCTGGCTAGCATCCGGCCTGGCATTGTGGGGCCACCTTCTTTTCTTCCCAAGCCTCCTTGCCTGCTACTGCACGCCACACGGTGGCAGGTGACCCTTGTGCTTGGCCTGCAACGTGTCCTGGGCATTCCCACCTGTGGCCTCTGCCAATCCCCACACCCTCTCTCAGGAGGAGGTGCTGACCTCTATTACGAACATGTCTGGGCCCCTCAGATGCACTGTAGAAGCCTCAACCCCCACTGGGATGGTATTAGGAGGCCTCTGGGGGGGTCAACAGCGTGGGTCCCCTTGATGGAATGAGTGTCTCTACAAGCACACTCTCTGCCCTGTAAGGCACAATGAGGAGGTGGCCGTCTGAAAGCCAGGGAGGGAGCCTTCAGCAGAACCCACCCTGATCTCCGACTTCCAGCTCCAGAACTGTGAGAGGTAGAAGCGTTGGTTAAGCTGCCTCGTCTGTGGTATTTTCTCATGGCAGTCTGAGCTGACCAATACACCCTCCCTTCTCTTCTCTTGAAGACCCCAGCCATCCCGAGGCACTGCTCAGAGGCCACACCCCCAGAAGCTCCTCTGGATCTTTCCAGAGTAAAAGCACTCCCCGCTGGCCCTCGGGGAGGCGTTTTTCTGACGTGAGCCCCTTGTGAGTGTGTGGTAGACCCAAGCCCACCCTTGTTTTCCTGGTCATCTGATGCCATTCTGCTCTGAGACAGAAGCGAGGGAAGAAACAGGCAGACCTGCCTTGTGCAGCCCATCCTCCACCCAGCACCCCAAGCCGGCCACCACAGGCACCCCAGGCAAGGGCGCACCCGTGCCTACAGACTCGTCCCAGACACTGGCTGCCCCACCCCCACCCCGCCCCGGCCTTTCTGCTGAGAACTCCCATCTCACTTTTGCTTCTGCCCTGACCTGGAAGTTTTCTGCCTTCTCTCCTTTGTCTCTGCCCCAGTCCATCCCCCAACAACCCCAAGCTTCAGACAGGTGGCAATATTAAAAGAGAAAAGCTGTGCAGGTTTAGCGGGGGTGCAGACAGCACTGAGTTCATCTGCGGCTTTTCTGGCCCCATGGTGTCAGGGCGGGCAGGCTCAGGGACAGCGTCAGCCCGCCACCTCCCAGGCCCTGGCCAAGTGCTGCGCGAGCTCTGCCTGCTCTGAGGTAATTAAACCCCAAAGCCTAGAAGGGAGAGATACAGGACTTGACAGCTCAGATATGAGATGTGCCTGTGGGGTCCCGGTGACTGTCAGCGGGCTCTCCCCAGGGGAGGACCAGGTCCCCACCTGTGGGCGTCACACACACAAATCCATTGCTCATCTCTGACGCAGCCTGTGGCCGCTGTCTGGGAAGTGCGTCAATGCCCTGAGACTGGTCTCGAAGGAGGCCAGGTGGCTGCCTCACAGACCTCCGGTGAGCAAGCTCTCCCACGCAGCTGGCGCGGGTTCGAGGGCAGAAAACACACAGAGCCATGTGGACTTGTGTAGAGTTTGTACCTCATCACTTCCCCACACACAGGACCATTCATTCATTCATTCCATCCATGCTTATTCGAGCACCCACTGTGTGCCACACTGGATTTAGAATCCAAAGATGTCCAAGAGACTCAAGTCCAGCAGAGACCATAGCATGCCATTCCATTCAAGGCTACAGTGACCTGGAGGAGACCAGGATGCCCCCGTCCAACGGGGGCTGAAGAGGTCCCCACAGTGAGGAAAAGGCCATATGGGATATCAGCACCTCCTGTGCTCACAATTCCAGACAGACAGCGGCTGCAATTAAAAACTGACTCTAGCCCTTGCTGGAGTGGCCCCAGAAAGTCACGTCATGTCGCTGAGCCCCAGTTTGCTCAGCTCTGTGATGGTAATAACAACAGGACCCACCTCACGGGGCTGTTGTGACAATTCAGTGATCTGACCGTGAGTGTGCACACATCGGCTCAGAGCAGGGCCTGCTACCTGACAAGCACTTGGAAGACACTGGTGCGTGTGTGTAAGGCAACGGGGAGGGACCTGGGGGCAGCAGGACCAGTTAAGGGACCACTGCAGTGGTCCAGGAGAGCAGGTGTGGGTGGGGCACCCCGAGGCAGTGGGCAGTTGAGCCAAGTCCTGGGAAAATCATACGTCAGATCAGGCCTCTGCCCTCCAGGAGCTCCGGAGCGACAGTGACCGCTTTCCGGAGACAGAAGGGTGAGATGGGGAAAGGACAGCGCAGGTGTGGCTGCTGGAATGGGACTGGAGGTGGCGAGGGCAACAGCTCATCGGTGGGATCTGAGATGGTCACACCACAGGGGAGGGAAGCTGACCCTCAATCCATATGAGGACTTCTGAGTTGGAAATCACTTCCGGCCTTGCCTTGCTCACAAAGGGTTGTCCTGAGGTTCCGGCGAAAGAACATATGTTGAAGTATGCCGTAAAGGGTATGTGACACGTGCGTGCACAGGACGACTAGCATTCGAGCATGAAAGAGCCTGGCACTGCATAGGTGCTCAATAAACACTAGCTGCACAAACCCGCATCCTGAAAACAGACCACCCTGAGGGAAAGGGAGCCCGCAGCCGGCTAGCAAAGGCCTCCCCAGGAAGGGAGAGAGCACGCCCCAGACATCCCTCCCAGCGGCCCAGAGACTCCGCCGAACATCCAGACACCCACTTGCAATGTGGACACTTCTACTGGCCCATTGTCTTGTCCCACCAGGAAAAACTCCACCGTGACCGTCTTCTTCTCTGTGCGCCTGGAAGCACCGGAGCGGTGGGTGAACAGCGGGAAGGCTCGGGCCAGAGCACAGGCAGAGGCGAAGACATCGGCCCGCTCGCAGACCATCTGCAGCACAGAGAGGAGAGCGGTGATGAGGGCGCGCGGGCGTGGCAGGACACGGCCCCCAGGGAGCTGCAATCGGGCGGTGCTAGGCTCACAGCAGGCTCAGAGGCCACCCTGCATACCATGTACACACAGGAGGCCCAGCCAGCCTTCACCCGGGGCCGTCCCCGGAACCATGGTCTCACAACCTGACAGTAGACCCGAGTCTGGATCCGAGTCTCAGATGTGCCTACAGAACTGTTCTGGGGGAAATGGCTTCTCTCCGCCCCGAGTTTCCCGTGTGATAAAGGTGGGGTGACCGAGCCGGTGGCGGCAGCTCTGAGCTCTGGGCCACGCTGTGGCGGGAGCCCTCCTCTTGGACCACTCACCACGATGCACCGGTGCGTTCCCGGCGGCAGGCAGGTCCGCACCAGCCTGGTGATGAAGTGCGCTGCGGAGGGGCTGTTGTGCCGGCTCACCCGCGAGGGCAGCGCAGCCACTGTGGCGCAGTTCAGGTAGAGGGGGCAGCTGTCCGTGGGGTTGGGGTTGAGCGTGCTTAGAGCAGCCTGCCACAGCTGGGAGGGAGGGAGGGAGAGAGAGACAGAGCGAGATCAGACGCCGCCTGCAGGTGACCCGGGCTGGGCGCGGCGTCACTAGCAGGACGAGTGCAGCACCGCGCTCGCTGTGTGTGTGCTGGCACCAGGCCCTTTGTGGGGCTGAGCAGTGCAGTGGGCAGTTGCAAACAAGGCCAGTTGGGGGGCTGCGTTACTTCGAACGCGGGAAACGCACGCTGGGGGGCCCCAGCCTGGTGCCCCTGGAAGCGGGGACGAGTGGGCACTGCCACGGGGCCTGGAAGGAGGCCGTTCCTTCGAGGAGGCCCGGTGCGCGCGAGCTGGTCGCGTCGAGGCGGCGGCCTGGGCCTGGAGGCCGGCCTGGCGCTGCGCCCGGCAGGAAGTGCGGGCGGCGGGGGTTGGGCGCGGGGATCGCACGGGCCAGGCGGCCTCCGCGCCCCCGGCCCGGGCCCCGCGTCCTCGGCTGGCGGCGCAGGGCGGCGGCGCGGCCCGCTCACCTCCTCGGTGACCCGGGGCTGCAGCTTCCCGCGGACGTGACTCCAGGGCACGCGGTGCAGGTGGGGCAGCTGGCCCAGCAGCAGCAGGGGCCGGCTCTGCGGGTCCGCGTCCCCCGCGCTCGCCTGGAACTGCAGCCCCACGTTCGCCATCTTCGCGGCCCGCGGCCCCCCGCCGCCCGCTCCGCTCGGGCTCCGCTCCCGCCGGGCCTCGGCGCCGCCCCGGCCCGGCCCTGCCCGGCCCCGCCTCCCCCGCCGCTCCGGGCCGCTCGCGAGACGTGCAGGGCCCGCCCGGAGCGCGAGGGGGCGCGACGGGGGGAGGGCTGGCCGGCGCGCGGAGCGGACCCCAAGGTCCGGGCCCCAAACTCCAAGCAGGCCCCGAGCTCCGCAGGCCTCCGCCCGAGCAGGCCCCGAACCCGGGCAGGCCCCCAAGCAGGTCCTGCCCTCCAAGCCGGAAGCACCGCCGCGGACGGCGCTCTGGCGAAGGGCCTGGCCGGCAGCCCGCCCGAGCCCGCGGACCTCGGCCTTGACCTCCAGCGGGGCCTCAGCAGACTCGGGCCCAACCGCAAGGCCACCCCAGCAGCGCCCACCGTCCCGTGCCCATGAGCCCCGAGCAGGCCCCGCTCCCACGGGAGGCAGGCCCCAGGAGTCTCAGGACCCCGTGGTGAGCCCGGGGGACCCACACAGGCAGGCTTGCCCTAACCAGCCTGGCTCGGGTTGGGATGGGCGTCGTGGTTTTTGGACCCGTGCCAGCTCCAAGTTGTTAAAGCCCCTGCCTGGCATGGTCAAGCCTCTCCTTCCTCACTGAATGGGTTCCTCCATAACCCTCAGGCCCTTGCTATGTGCCGGGCGCTGTCCTGGAAGTGACAGAGGGTCAGGGACGTGGCCTTCCACCCAGGTTGCTGTGTCGGGGGTCACCACTTATAAATCCAGGTTATTGCCTTGTTGAGTCGTCGTGTGCCCCCCCCCCCCCCCCACCAGCCTGGGCAAGCTGCAGGCTCACCCAATTTAGGGAAATAAGAAGGTACAGGAGAAGGGGGGAAGTCAGTGGTTTATAAGACAGCACCTGAGTTATCTCATTGAAGAGGGGCAGTGCCTGAAGGGTGTTGGGGGCACCTTGTGGATGGTGGACGATGTTGGTAAGGGTCCTGGCTCCTGCTGTGGCTCAGGTACAAGATTTGGGGATTGATGACCCAGTTGTGGAAGCTGTACCCGTCATTATCCAAAGGCCTTTTGGTTGGCACCCCTCTTCTTACTGTTTCCTTTTCATGATCAGCCTTTGAAATAGCAAAGCCAACTCCCTAGTGTGGCACCCAAGGCGCTCAGCCCCTCTCCTGTCTCCCTGACTTGCAATCCAACCACAGCCACACTTTCACCTTCTCTGCTGCTCCCTCGGTTCCTTGGAAACACCCCACTAGACTCCGCGCTTCGAGCTTCGGCATTCTGCAGGCAGGTCTTTTTGTCTGCTTTCTCCAGCGCCTGGCAGAGCAGGTGCTCAAAACAGTTTTTGAATGGCGCAATGAATTCCTTCGAAACCCTCAGCTTTCCGACATAAAAGTCGGTGCTAATTGGATCTTATTTTCTTCAAAAGATTTTGCAGCAACTGAATGTTTTCACACATTTGTAAAGGGCACGAAGCGCACATACGAAGATCTATCACTCTTTTCTTGTTTGCAAACACATTGCAGACAAGCACAGGGCTTTCTAGCAGGGGTGAGGCAACAGGGGACCGTCCCAGAGGGTGAGGGAGGTAAGGCTGTGCCTGATGGATGACACGGGACTCCCACAGGCAAACAAGACCGGGGAAGGCAGCGAAGTGGGGAGAGGTCTGGCAAGAAAGTGCAGACCCAGGGTGTCCCTGGAGAACAGAGAAGGGGAGGAACGGGTGATGGTGGTGGGCTGGGGAGTCTGAATCACTCCATCTACTTTTGCAAACTGTGGAAGGATCCAAGAAGTGTTTCAGAAAGCCAGACCCTGGCGCTCTGTGTGGGGGGAGCTGGAAAGGAAAGGAGCTGTCGGTGATGAGATGATTTGGGAGGTTCTTTCCTTTCAGATGGCCCCAAGACAGGACGAACAAGATGATTCAATGCAACCACATTTATTGAACACTTATTCCATACAAAGCAAGAAAAAAAATGGGATGTGCTTGTTGGAAGCAGACATTACTGATTCTGGTTTTAAGCCACCCCTGAACCAAAGAAATCCAAACTAAACAGAACATTAAGGAATTATTCCATTTCAAATGCCTGACAGTTTCCTCAAATGCAGCCCGTGACAGACACAAATACCTCCCAGGAAAGGACACTTTCCACTGCACTTTCCAGACTTCAGACTGAGACAGGAGCACTTTGTTCAGATGCATTTAATGAAGCGGTTAGTCCACAGGTTGGAATATATTTCACCATCAATAAAAAACTCACCTTAATTACATTTTCTTTTAAAAATGCAAATGCAAAATAACTTACCAGATCTTTAATGCAATCCGAGAAGTAACAAGTTTTTGGTGACTTGAGACTCCTTCCAAACTCAAGTGGGTGTTCAGACTTAATTTAGGAATTGAGGAAAAGGCTAAAAACTTCTGGAAGAAATCAGAATAAAGTTCCCAGGACTTATTAGGAAGTTTTGGGATATAGTTCATATTCTAGACACATTTCTAAATGACATCATGTGAGATGGCTCCGGGTGTGTGAGTTGTACACGCCTGTGTTCACTGAATGCTGGAGCTCACCTGCACTAAATCCCCTAATCCCTGTCAGACTCAACCCACAGCCACGAAGCTCCAGGTCCCACCACACCTCATATGAGACGGAAACACTGACCACCCACCTGCCTTGGGAGCACTTGTTTTATCTTTCTAGTGTTTTCATTCATTCATTCAATATAGATTTATTGAATATCAATTCTGAAGAGCTCCAGGCCGGGTCAGACTTTGGGGATACGGTGGGGGAGGGGTGTGGTTGTGTGTGTGTGTGGCAAGGGTAGGGAGCAAATACAGCAGTAAAGCCCAGCAATCCAGTCACTGGGAGCCGAGTCTGGAGGATATTGGGAGTTGGGTCCTGAGGGTGAGGCGTGTGCCAGGCAGGCTGAGCCCAGACAAGGAAATCCTTCAGCAAGGGCCCAAAGTACTAAAGGGTGTGGTCCATCCAGAACCGTCAAAAGCTTTAGTGATATGGGCTGGGCGTGCGATGTACACCGAGCCAAGGAGTTTGGACTTGACCTTGTGGGTAACTGCAAGCCAGGGGAAATGCCTCAGTCAGGACTGGTGTGAAGTAGAAGTGGGGCTCGTGCCTAGTTGAGAATGGCCTGCCTGCTCTTTCCTTCTTCATAGGAGGAAGGGCTCAGCACCAACCACCTGCATCCTTGGCATCCTGGAAGCAGCTGGCCTAGAAGGGAGCCCACCTGCCAGAACTCTGCCTTCCCTCACCTGGCCCCCCCGCTGCCGGCACATCAGGGAATGCCTTGGTCGCACTCTGCAAATATTGTCAGATGTGGCCCTGGCCAGAAGCTCGTTGGTTGGAGAGAAGTCCAATTAAGGAATTATTCCACTTCAAATGCCTGACAGTTTCCTCAAATGCAGCCCGTGACAGACACAACTGCATTCAAAAGGTGGAAGGTTTGATCCCTGGTCGGGAGGCAACCGGTCAATGGTTCTCTCTCACATCAGTTTTTCTCTCTCAAATCAATTTTAAAAAATTGTCAGACGTGCCACCTGGAAGGTTTGCACTCAGGGTTCCCCGAAGGATTGAAAAATGAACTAATCGCCATGAAAATAAATTTTCTCTAGAAACTCTTGAAAAATGCATTAACTTAAGGAAAAGTTGAAAAGCCAGTAGAAATTATACTCTTACCTACATTCAGATATTTATTTTTCTGCACCATTTAACCCTAAATACCTCACTGCATCTTTCTTAGGAAGAAGGGACACAGCCTCCAACACCCCCTAGCCACAATAACATCCTGATCATATCCATGACAATCTGTCATTGAAGCAATGTTATTACCTAAAAAAAAAATTCCACACTGGAATTTCTTGAATTGTCCTAAGAATGTCCTTCATGGCCTCTCTTAAAATCAGAATCCAAATGGGCATCAGGCATCCCACCTGGTTGTTCCCTTGAATCCAGAACTGCCCCTGCCTTGGTCTCTCCTGGAGGTCTCACAGTTTGGACTCTCTTGGTTGTCTCCTTATGTGAGATCTGGTGTGAACCTTTTTTGGCAATAATACACATTGTTTCCCACGGCACCCAATCAGAGGCCACGTAACCCATGTAAGCTCCCATTACTGGCCAAGGCTAATTGCTTGGTTTCCACGGGTTCACATGGTGAAGATGTAAATCACCCTTCATAATTAACAGAATTAGGGTCAGTTTCCTCCTCCTAATGTGTGGTTTGACACTCTGAGAACAACAGGATGCTCTGTTTCCAGCGGCCTTCCCCCCCTGCCCCCCCCCCCCCGACTTTTGTGTGCAATGGTGGTGTCTGTCTGAATCAAGCATCAGCTGCGGCCACCTCCTCCTTCCACATGCAGCACCTGCTATTTTTTTTAAATTTATTTTTAAATCCTTACCCAAGGGGAGAGGATATTTTTTCTATTGGTTTTTAGAGAGAGTGGAAGGAAGGGGGCAGGGCAGAGAGTGAGAGAGAAACATTCATGTGAGAGTGAGATATCAATTGGTTGCCTCCAACACACGCCTCGACCAGCTGAGGATGGAACCTGCAATCCAAAACTTGCAATCAAAGTATGTGCCCTTGACTGGGAATTGAACCTGAGACCCTCTGGTGCGCAGGCTGACGCTCTAACCACTTAGAAATACTGGCCAGGTATCCATCATTCTTGTGTACAGACCTCCTTGCCTCCCCTCTCCTCAAGACTGCACTGTGAGGCTCAGTGCAGAGCTGAAGGTGCAGAACCCGTTCTTCAACAAAGAATTCCAAGATGGCAACAGCAGAGCACTAAGTATGCCAGAAGTGGGCCCCATGTGAGTGCGAAGGCTGCATGCCCAGGAGCCACCCTGTCCCCATGGCTTGTGTGTATCTTCCAGTATCACAGCCCCCAGTGTCCCCACGGAGGCTGCTGAGCCCACCAGGCCAGCTCCTGCCTTTTTCAAACATTCCTATCTGTTTTTGAGCACGTCTGTCCTTTCTGGAACATTAAGACTATCCCTCAGCTCACTGTGTTCCTCCTTTGCCCAACTATAGAGTCAGCCATTCCTTCAAGAATCTCTGTCCTGTGAATCGGGACAATGGGTGTCTAGAAACCCAGGTTGGTGTGGGAGGTAAGCTCACTGCTCCCTGGTCATTGTTTATGATCCTTTCAGAGGCCAGGAGTAAGATTTGTTTTCTTAATCTCAGGAGGCCACACCAACTCCTTCAATTCAAACCCCACGCTGCTGACCTCCCCCTC